AAAATCACCCCACTGTTGTGCACTTGAGATGTCCTTCAGTGTTTTTATGGCCACTAGCTGAGCTTGCTCCATGCCTGGCAGGTACAGGTGGCCTTTGTAGATTTTACCAAAGTTGCTCTCGCCCAACTTTTCCATGAAGCGCACTGCAGACAGAGGAAGCTCTTTGGCTTTGCTCTACAGAAGAGAAGGAAATAGAAAGGTAAGGTTGTGGTGGAAAATTTGTTATTGCAAATTTGAGACAACAATGTAGTAAATGATTTGTGGTCAAGTAACATTATGCAAAACAAATTATTTTAATATATATATATATATATATATATATATATATATAAATTTGTGCTGTCAAGTAATAATTAGATAACGCCAAAGGTACTTTATAAACTGATGAAATACACTTGAATAATTAAATATTAAAATAAATGAATTAAATTATTACATTTGACTGAAAAGGTATGGCACTAACACGTCATGCTTTAATACATTTTTGTTAGTTTAAATTTATGAAGAAGCTGTTGTCAACTGTTGTAGCTTTGTTTTTAATCTTTTGCTCTGCTGCTGAAAAATAAGACATGCTACAACCTCAACCACTGACCACAGAAATACATAAAACCTCTGTTTACTCTTAAAATATTCTCACTGTCATGTACATTTATGTACTTTGCAGAAGCTGTCTTACCACTTACATGACAGCCACTGTGACTCTATGTTGTTTTATCCCCTATAAGAGTGATAGAGATGTAAGTGATATGCATAATGTTGTGTGACTGGTATGGACAAGACTCTGGCTCATGAAGCAGGAAATAAAAAGTTTGACAAAAGGTCACAGCTACATTCAGCAGAGAAATAAACCGTCAAATAAAAGAGAGGAGTCTCTTTCTTTGAAAGAAGCAGATGTTTTGAGTTAGCATCAACTCAGCATCCCTGTTTTGAGTGAATGGTAACCTTTGAATGACCTAAGTCTGAACTTTGGCCTGCAGCTGAGACTGTCGATGAGAGGTCTCAATGTGTTACAGATACAAACAGCACTTCAGGGTGTCAAAAGGTCTGATTAATACTGGAGCTAAATGGAACTACCATCATCTCATCAAAATATTTGTAAAATGTCTCTCTAACCAGCAACAAAGAAGAAAAGGCAAGGAAAAACAATTTTCAAGCGAAAATCTAATTAGAATCTGCTTTGAATGATCCAAATGGAATGATAACAATATGATTATATTTAGATAATCCTCTCCAGGCTTGGAAGAGATTGCCTCCATATGCTCATCCCTCCTGTCATTTTGCCTCCTGTTTGCGCAGTGCCCTTAACCCAGGAATATACACTAATTCAAACGTTATGAAAATGCCCCACAACTCCAATGGGCAAAAAGTATAAGAATAAAAATCAAAATGAAGACACTTGCTGATAGCGTTGTTTATTTGCACACACGATCTGTTGTTTTAGCACCCAATTCACTATCAGAACTGACTTAAAGGTGACATATCATGAAAATCTGACTTTTAAGTGCTATAATCAGGTCCCCGGTGCATCGTGTTTTTGCAAGAGACAACTGTATACTAGTTTTAATGCCATGGCGGAAGTTTGAGCAAAACATGCTAACTGTTCTGTCTTTGGCTGCACAGACGAGCACAGAACACTATTTAGAGTC